TACTTAATTGTTGAATAAGTCCTGAAAGTTTCAATAAAATCTGACAATTATCTGATTTTTGCAACAGTTTATAAGTCATTGAGTTTTGCACCATAAAAAGAAGCTTATTAATTTATGGTCACCTGTTGATGCAAGAAAAACTATCTTTAACCAAAATTTTGAAGGTTCTAGAAAGGATAAAAAATATAATTTAATAATAAAAAACATCTGTTGGTTTTTTCTTTGTCATTGTCTTAACAGTAACAAAGATTTTGACGATAAAACTTTGTTTTTCTTAAGTTTTGGGCATTTTTTCATGCATGCACATTTTTTTAGTGAATCTTTGGTGCCAATTTCCAAAGTAGTCAAATTCAGTAAAATCTGCCTCTACTTCAGTTTGTTTTTATGTTACACAAGATATACATTTTTTTTTCTTTCTAATGCCATATCCCTTCAGGACATGGCCTATCAAGGCTTTTTACAGATCTTTTAATGTTTATTATTTGTGAATATTGCAATGACCTCTTGGAAAATATAATGGAGTTGTTTTTTATGGTCTTCTCAATTTGTAATTTAGAGTTCTCCTAGACTGGTTATTACTCAAGGCTAGAGTAGTCAGTCTACCATGATATTTAATCCATATTTGGGGAATGGGAAATGGATTCAAGCCTTTTACAATTACGTGAAAGTAGACACAACAGCCGATTTCCCTTTTTTAAAATGATAACCATTTCCACACATCAAAGTTTAAGGAAATCAAAAATTTTCTCAAAGAAAATAAATCTAAATTAAAATTAATATGATTGCATATATAAATGCATTTGAAAAAAAAAAAAAAGAAAAAAAAAGTTATCAATGATAATCATAAAAAACCCAATACAAACATTTCCCTCTGAAAACAAAAAAAAAACAATAAAGAAAATAATTCATAAAAGGCTCATCCATAAATATATGTGGTTCATGTAGGCACTGCTATGAGATTGCTGGAAAATGAGCATCAGAGCATGAAAATAACAGCCTTAAACTTGACAAAAACAATATTTTAACATCAAAATTTTTATGTTACTATTAAGAGGAAAGAACAAATTAATTTTCAATTCTTTTTAAAAATTTGTCAGTCTTTTTTAGAACATTCTGACTTTTGATTAAAAAAAACAAAAACAAACTTGTTTCTCTTCATCAACAGAATTACTAGTAAATAACAGCAAATTTTAGTGCATTTTTTTAATGACAGATATTAATTTTGAAAATCTTGCAAAAAGAAAATTGTCAGATTTTAATGAAACATTCAGAAACTATTCACAAATGATAGAAATTATTATAAATATATTTATTTTTTGGAAAGTCATAGTAAAAATTTTTTATATTCATTACCCCTCACCCCCATAACTAATTTTATGAAAACTCTAGAAAGCCAATTCTGTACAATTTTAGTGATTAATTAGTTAAAAGCACAAGGCTTTGAGGAAAGTAAATCATATTTTGTTTTTTTTTTGTATTTGGACCCCCCTTCTACCTTTTAAAACACTTTGCTCTGAATTGTAACATACAAAAGTAAAACTCAATAAAACAAAGATATTATTTAATTTGAAAGGCTTTTAATTGTTTTTATGAATATGGATAATAATGTCTGAAAGCAAAAATGATTATAAGTTTTGTTTCTCTGTCAACAGAAGAGTCCACTACATAAATATTGGGCGAATTGCCAGTTTGTGGATAGGACTCCCATCACATGGTGTAAATAACATTTTTAACACTTAATACTCATGGCCTATCTATGGCCAGAGGAAACAGCCATTATTTAGTTCATCATACCAACCAGTTAATTTCTGTTATTCCCAGTTGTTACAGAACTATTGAGAATTTTTATTTTTTTTTATCTTGGATGAAAATATTGCTGTTTACTGAAAATGCAACATGAAGTAGTAAACAAATTTAATCGAAAATAAAATGGAATTATGACTTAAAGTATTTTTAGCTCATAGATAAATGAACAGTAATGTTGTAATAGTATTTTACTCAGGGTTGATGCAAGGGTTTAATGCCCCATCTCCAAAATTAAAATTAAAAATCTATGATATGCAAAACAATCTACTACACCTCAATTTTCATACGGTAGTATTCATACAGATTTTATATTGTAACCTGTGTACAATATGGATCATATGCAATAGGTGAACAATTCAACTAGTAGAAAAACTGAAAATAAATACAGTGTAAATACAAAGAGAAATAGATCATTCCATCTTAACTTTTTAAATCAACAGTTTTCTTGCAAATTTTTGCCATCAACTTGTGATTTTTCTTGTAAAAAAGTTGAATTTTTATCATGGATTAAAAAAAAAAAATTTTATGTAGTTTTTTTTTTTTTTCGAGACTTAGAATGAGCAAAACAAATTCACGGATGTGGATGAAAAAAAAAAAAAAAAAAAGTAAAAAAAAAAAAAGACATCAAAATCCAAAAAAATTTTTCATCAATAGTCAGTCGTGCTTAGTTTCATTTGTAGCGTATGTAGAGGGAGAAAAGCAAATGTTGATAAGATAGCAACGGTCACAATGCACTGCCCCCCATTCGATTGGGGTGTTTGGTGGGAGTACGCACCATCCCTGATTTTACTTATTAAAAATAACAAACAAAAAAACAAAACAAGGGTGTGTGTGGTGGTGGGGAGGTGGAGATCGCAATCCCGTATTCTTTTTTCATTAAAAAAAAAAAAAATACATTATAGCGGCTCGGATTGAGGAATCGGAGAGCCGAGTTCGAATTCCTGTCGAATCCTTCTACCTCAGAAAGAAATGGCAACCTACTGCGGGAAAAAAAATCTGACTCGTCAGTCATGTATCACGCATGGCACATAACTGGTATGACGAAAAAGTAAAAGAGTGATTATTTCTGGTGCAGTGTACGACCTCACCCAAAATAATTGACAAGATATAAATAAAAAGTTTAAGAAGAGCAGACATGTCGGTTGTATTTTTTAACTTTACATAAAAAAATCGTCCTTTATTGAATATATTCAAAACATGAGTAGATAAGCTTTAACAGTAAAGCTTATCTACTCATGTTTTACATTCTTCTTCTGTTTGTTTGGTTCAGTAAAGCCTTTACTGAACCAAACAAACAGAAGAAGAGTGTGTTCTGTCAATGTTTCAGGTGAAAAAAAAAAAAACCCAACTCTCAAAAAAAGTCAAAATACTGGATTTTATCCGGGTACCAAACGCCGACCATTAGCAACAATTGGTTAATGTGTAACTCCCCTTCCCGTAAAAAAACTACCAAACAGCTCCAAGACTCAAATTCAAATATTTACTTTAAGCAAATAAACAATCAGTTAGAATAAGAAACTATCTCTGTTACCAAACAAGTCATTTCTAACTCAGCAGAAAATATAGTCGTTGCGTTCAGTGAAAAAGAAAACTAAAAATAAACTTAGCACTAAGCAAACCAAAATACCTGAAGTTAGTCATTGTTGCACATATATATTTAAAAAAAAAACAAAATAAAATAAAAATAAACATGCTTTTCTTCAATAATAAAATATGAAGTCTTTTTAGCTGAAGCAGTTCTTTCTAGGATTAATAATTGTGAAAGCAAAAAAAAAAAAAAAAAAAAAAAAACCGACCTGAATATTGTTATAACAACACCAACAAAAAGATAAACTAGTCGACACTCTTACTTTAAGTTTAGTAAAATTGCAAAAAGCAAGAGGGTGCCACAAAATAAAGAGTTTAGGGAGCTAAACTAGAAGTTTTAAAGATTTATTTCCTGATTCATTTCTGATTCCATTATTTTTTAAGATCTGTTACCCTAAAAAATAACTTTTGTTTTGATTTTAAATGCAGATTTTTTTTTTTTTGCTTTCCATTTGTATTTATTTTCTAGAAATTAGTAAAAACCTTCTTATTCCTATTTAAGAATTGACAAAAGCTAATGTCCCGAAAACAAACAAAAAACAATGTAAAAGATGAAGTTTTCTGATTTAATTTGAAAATTAATGGCACTGACTAAAATCATTTTTAGTGCAAATGATTCGGCCCAGCTCAAAACAATTGTCATATGACATAGATAGAGAGAAGTCAAATTTAGTCTTCTGTTTAATTCTGCTTCTGAGTTTCAATAAAAGAAAAAAAAAAAAAAGAAGCAAAGGACTCTGTTGTCATCAGTGCCACCCTGTAGCACCGTTGATTGAAAAAAGGGATAAAGAAAATTGCATTGCAGCTCTCCACTATCCGAAGAAAAGTCAACTTGTTTTGAGAGACAGCATCCGAAATCATAGTTCATGAGTGGGCTCGAACATTAAACACTGGCATCGGTAACAAATACCTTTCTAAAGAATCAAGCAGACACCGTCTTAAAATATATATTATTTGTTTTGTATCATACATTACATTTACAAACTATAATCAAAATTGGGAAAAGAATTAAAAAAAAAAAAACAGATCATTCACTTTTAAATAAATAACAGTAAATGTGTACTGACCATAAAATCAACAACGGCCATCTTTCATGGTTGAATTGGTAAAGAAAAGAAAGTTTCAAAACTTTTCAGCGTCAGTAATGTAAAGAAAACAACAAAGGCAGTTTGAAGCAGTTCTCGGAGGGAGTAAATTTCATAAAGAGGTAAGAGACTCGACAACTGGCAGATAAAATCGGCTTTGGTTAGAGAGAGATCTTAGTAGCAGAGCTCTGTAGTTCGTATGCGAAGAGTAAGATAACCTCCTTTTTTTTTTCTTCTTCTTCTTCTAAGTGACAGTGAAATGAGCAGTTCCTTCTGGGCGAAAGGAAATGGTGAAAGTTGATGCGGGCTGGTGTATGACCAGCCACTCTCAGCAGAGGCGGAAAGAAGGAAAAAAGGCGGAGAGAAAGAGGCCGCTTTGTAGAGTGTTGCAATGCCTCTCCCACCCAATCTTATTTTGTCCCAGCCTCCGGCGGCTATCAAGTAAGGTTCGCTTTCTCTTGCTTTTTTTCTTTTGTCTTGTTTGAAACTGTTCACGTAGTGAGGGAAAGAGTTGGGTTCTTCTTAAGTTGTTAACTTAAGAGTAAGAGGCAAACAGGGAGAATTAGAAAGGAAGAGAGAGAGAGAGAGAGAGAGAGAGAAATAATAATCATTACTTAACAAAATAGAGTGGGGGCATATAAGAAAGAAAGTGAATTCGTCGTAACGAGTACTTCGAAAGAAAGAAGGAAGGCAAGAAGGAAATCAAAGAGAAAAAGAGGGAGTGGTTCTAGAAGACTAGAGAGAGAGAGAGAGTTAAAAAAAAAGAAAGAAATGATGTTAGAGAGAGGAACCGAGAAATAGAAAAAAAAAAAAACAGTAAAGAAAGAAACCGAAAAATTAGGGAACCCCAGAAAGGAACTTGAAAGAGAAAAAAAACCCAAAAAAACTGGGTAGCCTGCAGGTAAAATAAATATAGAATATAAGTAAATTGAGGAAGAAGCCGAATCAACAGTGCCAACATTCAATTGTATCTATTTACACGCACACATACACGCCCATGTATGTATAGACGTGTGTGTGTGTCGATATGGATGCTGCGTGTAACAGAAATAAAACCAGAATCCCTTTTCTTCTCGTTTTAATATTCATTAAGTTTAGTTTATTATGGCAAAAAGCCACATATGGTAGCAATGGAAGTTGGAAGATTGTATTACGCCAATCTTCAAAGGAGACCCTTTTTACGTGGGCTGGGTTCGAACCTTCTTTCACTGCAACAACTCCATTAATTTTCCTGTGTTCATAGAGGCGCAAAAGAAGTCCGTGACTTTTCTTACTCGTAATGTTGTATATTGATAATTAACTTGTGACATCATAAAGTTAATTAAAAGGATATTTAGATTAAAGAAAACATTCCCTCTACAATTTAATACAGAGGAATTTTAATAAATATATAAATTTAAATTTAATTACTATCAAGAAGAAAAAAATCACTAAAATTTATTGAAGTCTATTAATATTTTCTATATGGTTAATTAATTTTAATTGAGCAGCTTCTTCAGAAACGAGATAAATATTTAAACTCGGCTCAGTCCGCCCCCATCTACCGGGAAAAGCGAGCATTCTGGTGTGGAATGAAACGGAGTGTATAGAATATAAAAATATATTTTACGGCCAACAAGTGAAGCGTAAACAAGTAAGAGACGCCTATAAATAAATCTTACTAAATTCAATAGATACGAAAAACATTTTTACAATCATGGCTTTAAATTAAATAAGTTGTTTCTGGAACCTGGTTGGATATGACAAGTAAAGTGATGCGCTCTCTACTACGTCCGCGCGGTTGAATTTCAAATGACCTGGAACTAGGTCAGGGCTGGATCTACTGAGTACATTCTCGCGCAAAACTCAGCGATTCAGAGCCAACTAATAAAAAAGGGGTCGTCAGTGACCAGATCAGCAACGACACAGTGTAGGACAGTCGGCCAATCAGACCAACCTCGATCAGCAACATACATATCTTGAAGCTTTTCCACATGCAACGCCACGACGAAAGTAAGTCTTGTCTCCCCTTTCTTTGTTCGATGTGTTTAAAATTACTGCTATCGCACGCAATCAGTCAGCAGTCACACACATATTTCATTAGCGTGTGCTTTTTACACACACAAATATTGGCGCACCATACCACTTAATTTCCTTACTTGTAACAAAAAAAATCACTTCGAAACTTTGCAGACCCGCTTATGACAAATCATTTCGAACACTCGAACTATTGGCCTCTTCATGGCCACAACAAAGAATATTGTTTTTTAATATGTAAATACATGTATAAATGTTACTTTCATATTTAGCTTGGTTTTCTTCCTTTTCTGCGAAGATTATTTCTTCACGTTGCATAAAAATTGTGTTGTATTTGTGAACACGACACTTGGATTTTATTTTTCCTCCTAAAATCCGGGTAGACTAACTCCACAAATGTATCAACCTTACAGAAATGCATTTGAAATTCTGGCTTTTATAACAGAATTTGAAGACCCGTTTGGGTACTGCTCCTAGTTGGAATAAAAGCAGTGGCAAACAAAATTTACACATGTAAATGACGGGAAGATATTTTTAGTAGAGGTGACAGGAAAGGGAATGAATTTCAACAAGACGATATTTTTCGTGTGTTTTTATAGGATTGATTAACAAAGGAGAGAAAATACAGTAGTATGTATTTAAAAGAAAGAGTTCATTAAAAGTTAACAATTATAAATTGTGTGTGTGAAAGTTCAGTTACCAAGAGAAAAGATATCCCCATGTTCGGGACAATGTCCCGGTTGGTGTTGCCACTACTGTATTCTAGAAGGAAAAGAGAGAAAAGAGCAAAAAGATTGGAGTGTACCGTTTTTATAACTGTTTAACAGCTCCCTCTAATGGCGTCTTGGCGAAGCCAAGTCAGGGTAACCCACGCACCAAACACTAGTACCGATGCTTTCAAAAAATAATAGATTCAATTCTATTTAATCGGAAAAAAATTATGTAATAATTTTTTCCCCAATTTTTCCTTTTTTATTGGCATAAAGATTTTTAGAATCAAATTAACTTTTATATAACTCTTGTGTATCAAGTAGGAGTGCCGCCGGCATGATTGTTTTCTTTAATTCGCCTCCTCACGTTATATTACGGCATACTTATTGATTTTAATTTTTTTCATTTTTCTCCTCAGCACAGTAATTTTGTACCACGTTTATTAAAGAATCTAGGTAGGACGTTTATTTGAACTGGTGAATGTTTAGCAATCTCCTCACAGATGAAAACAAAACTGGAGGCAACAGAAATGTGGTTCTACAGAAGGATGCTGAGAATACCATAAACGAAGCGCGTAGGGAACAAAGACCTCTTACGGAAAATGGAAACGAAAAGGACATTTATACTCAGATAGAGACAGTTACAATTTCTTGGACACATAATGAGGAAGGAGGGCTTGGAAAATTTGACACTCACAGGGCATATCACAGGCAAAAGGGACAATGAAAGGCTGCAGGCCGCCTACCTGGCGAGTTTGTGTGAATGGATGGCGGAATGGGGATGGAAAGGATGGCGAAAGTACAAACGTCGCCGAGATCTACAAGGGATAAAAAGTTGGGGAGAGGACATAGAAGAAAAACAATTCCAATTGCCATGACTATTCCAGACGGCACTTTTATTTGATACAAAAAAAGGGCCATTGTGAAATTCAAATTTAAATTGCTGACATTTTACGTTATATTTCATCATTGAAACCAGCCTATATATTAGCGCGGGAAATGCATGCATTGAGAACGTGCAACAAAGCCAAGCATTATATTTTGTTGTTGGTCACCAGTAAGCAAATAATATATATATATATATATATATATATATATATATATATATATATATATATATATATATATATTGTGTATGTGTGTGTGTAAAGGGTGTGATTTTAATCTGTTCTGGCAGATATGAGACAAATTAAAAAAAATTTAGATAAATATCTCAACTTCGACACGGAGGCAGACGAGGTTGTGGAACGTGAAAGTGACGGTCGTCTCAGTCGTTATCATAGCACTGGGGACGATCTCAGAAAAGCCTATAAAACAAATAAAAAGGCTGGAGGAACTGTGGATATGAAAGAAATGAAAAGACAGACAAATATCTCGTTCGACAGGGAAGCAGACGAAGTTGTATACCGCGAAGATGATCATAGTCACTGTCGTTATCAGACCAATGGGAACGATCTAAAAAAGGCCTAGAAAAATGGCTGGAGGAACTGCAAGCCAATCCAATGGAAGAATCTGAACCAATTCAGACGATAGCATTACTGAAAATAACTTGTGAGTAATTTTGTGAGGGGTGCTCACATTTCCAGGGTCTATTGATCCCATTGAAATATTAATTTTATGTGTTTTTGGTACACCATATAATATAGGAAGACCATACTTTATTATTCTTAATTATTTTTTTATAGGATTTTGTAAATATTTTAATATCTATATATTTATACTTGTTAGATTTGATCTTTTTCATAGGTTTTATTATCTCTCAGTAACATCGTTGTTTTTCATTGTACGTGTCCGTATTTAAATAAATTATCAAATATTATCACCATCATCTCATCGTCTGACAAAGGTGGAGGAATAATAATTATGAAGCTGTCGTTCGGTTCAGACTCTTCCACAGCCTTTTAAACAGGAGTAGAGGTTTATCCCTGTTTAGGATTGGGTTTCCGGTTCCTTCTAAAGTCTTTTCATTCTCTTTCACTGCCAGTAGGGCCTTGCGTCTTAGTGGCATTATCGCCTTGCTTGGTGTGAATTGGTTAAAAAAAATATGGTTGCAAGAGTGTTGAAGTATTTAAGAAGACTTGCTGTCACTTGAACTTCATTGTAAACTACCAGTCGCTCCTGGCGTGAGCACCCAGCAATGATAATGATGATGATAATGATAGGAATAATAATAGTAAAATGTGGCACATGGGGACATCAAAATTTTTCGGTTGTAGTTGGAACCTTCGAATTGTTTGGAAAAGGTTCTGATATACGCATTAAAGGGACCCCTGGTTGACCACGCCTTAAATAAATACCAAAAATTGTACTCACAAAGAGCTTTATCTATCCTTCAGTATAATATGGAGCTTTGTCTATGTAGAATATGTGTGATCTGAGTTTTTTTTTCTGTTTTATAAAAATGTTCAGTGTAAAATGTCATGAAGTCAATTCTGACCTCATGTCTCTGGTTGGTTCCCGGAAGGAAATGTGTATACAATAGAAATCCAAGGAAATAATAATAATAATAAATGTCATCCCAATTTCAGATCCTGTTTAACGATAATTCAAATTTATGGTTACTTTTTTAGCCGAACAAATTATTTTCTTTTCTTTTTCGTAACAAACAATTTTTTTCTCTTATTCTTTCTTCGTTCTGCTGAAAAATGCTTGTTTCAAAACTCGTACAAAATTGGTGGGTTTTCAAGAATTTCCCCTGTTTCTTTGTTCTGTTTATTTTTGATATTCTTGATTACCGATTTTCTTTATCTTCTTCTTTTTTGTTGTTCTCTACCTACCTCTACCCCCCCCTTCACCCCCACATAATGATTCCCCAAAAAGTAAAATGGCACGGACAGTTCGTATGTAAACCCCGGTTTAACCTTATCATACCAACCTCGCCTTAACCCGTCATCCGGCATCTTCCCTACCGATCCCCACACTTTCTCTGGAATCGACAAACGTGGGTGTGTGGCTGGAGATGAACCTTTACAAATATCCAGCCCACCAAGATTAGAATTCAAAATCCTCCTCTTACCAACCAGTCGCCCTCAAGCCAACAGGCTAAAAGTAAATAATTTCTACGTGATGTGTTTCGTTCAAACAATAGAAGTGGACTTTGATCGTCCACGAACTGTTTCGTGCCGAAACTTCTCTTCAAAATTCCAGTCATAGTTGAAGTGATATCCCAATCTTTGTTGTTTTGATGGTTATATTTCAGTTGAGACGCGTTCCAGTCTTTCCTTTTTGTCATTGTTCAAGACATTATTCGGCCTCGCGTTCTCATCTTTTAATTAAATGCCCCCCCCCCCCAAAAAAAAGTATGAAGAAAATATCCGTACAAAACAACTGAAGAAGAATGGGAAATATACCGACCGAAACATATTAGCCGCAACAAACATGGGAATACTATTCAGTATTAGGGTTGGTGCGTATCACCCCGAACCCTCCGACCGGGAATTATCAACAATTGCTTTCTTCTACCTACATTTATATATGTTACAAATTAAACTAAGCGCAACTATTAATGAATGAAAACTTCTGCCGCCTTTTTTTTTCGCCCAAATCCATGAATTGTTTTTGAACATGTTAAGTCTAAAAAAAAAAAAAAACCATATAAAATCCACTATTCTTTATCTTGAATAATATTGAATGTGTTAAATTCAACTTTTTAACAAGAAAAATCTCAAGTTGATGTTAAAAATTGCCTCAAAACATTGTTGATTTATTTAAAATGAAATGATCTATTATGATACGTATTTTTATTTAGATACGTTGTGTAAAAATGTCAGTTAGAGTATATCTGTAAAAAGACAATATGAATAAAGAGACAAATCAAACTTATCTTAGCCGAGGCGTTTCGTCCTATAAGGGACTTCATCAAGGCAAATTATCATTTAGGTACATTATATTCATTTTCAATTTTTCTAATTGAATTGTTCACCTGTTTTGCATATGTTCCATTATTGTACAATAGAATTTGGTTTACAATAAAAATTGTATTTTATATGAATACTACCTTATGAGATGTAGTAGAGTGGGGGTCCTTGTACAATTCCTGTTCAGTATAATTCATCGACTAATCACATTTATTTTAAGCAGAACATGCACCTGTCGGAGTATTAAGGCATTCGGAAAGCAATTAAAATTTATTTAACTATTATTTACCAAGAATGTTATCACTTTCATTTTCAACAACTGCAGCTCACCTCGAAGGTAAAATTTCGATTCCTCGCTTAAAGAAATTTACTTTGTTTTCTCTCCTGAAAAAGTTCGAAAGACCGTTTCTCAGCTTCTTTCTTTCTGGAATTTCTGTCATTTACAGAATGTTCTGGCGATCGAGACAAATGAACGTTTGTAGGCGCTAAATCTGATGAGTGTGAATGTCGTAGAATAACGTCCTGTCTCAATGATCTTACTTATTCTTAGGTTTGTTTTGCAGAATATACCCTTGTATTGTCATGATGGAAAATAAACACCCCCATTCTTTTTTTTTTTTTTTACCAAAACAGAACACATTCTACGTTATACTTTTGATCAATCTGCTAACAATAAACGCCTATAGTGAAGGTCCTTCCATGTTCCTCACGCTCGTAATGGACGACACCTTTTATATTCACCAGACACAAATCAAGCGGATGAAATCCTGATCTTGGTATTGGCATTAGTTTCTAATTTTGTAATAACCACTATTTCTCTTCTCTTGATATGAAACACCCATTTTTATTATCAGTAACGATGCGATGGAAAAATGAAAGTTTGGCATTCCTGGTTAAAAGAGTGCAGCAGATGGTGGAACATTGTATTCAGTTCTCAAGCGAAAGTTCATGAGGAATCCAATTTCACCCTTTGAAAGTTTTCCCAATTAAACTCTGAAAGCGATGAAAAACGTAGTTATGCTCCAAACACTAGACTAATATCCTGATATTTGTTGATAAAAATACAAGAAAAAAAAAACATACTAATTGAAATAATGATATAATATTTAATATGGCACCTCCAGATAATATAATGATGACCCGAAAATGCACTGAACGAAAATTAGTGATCAAAACAACAAAGATATACTAGTATCTGCTTATATTTTTGAGATGAGGTATTATGTACATCATTTACATTAATCAGAATATTGTCCTCACCTCTGTCGCCATATTTATTACAAAGTTTCGGCCGTTGTACGCTCCGGACTTCTTCAGGTGGTTAGAATGTCGAACTGAAGCCTTTATTTCGCTCACTAGGGTAGACTGTTCTAGTTCCACGTGCCATGTCTAATGCATGTCTGTTATCAGTTATCTCCTGTTACTTTCCTCTCTACAAGTTCTCCGCCGCCTTAACCAGGTATTGAACTCACATTCTTTGGGTCCTGTCACTGGATCGAACTAACGCCTTTTTCCACTATGCCATGTGTCCTCAAGGACACAAGGCATCAAGTGACAGGAATCAGAGTGTGAGTTCAATACCTGGTTATGTCGGTGGAGAACTTGGAGAGGGGAAAGTAACAGGAGATAACCGACATCCATTAAACATGGCACGTGGAACTAGAACAGTCTACACTATTGAGCGAAATAAAGGGTTCAGTTCGACATTCCAACCACCTAAAGAAGGCCGGAGCGTACAACGGCCGAAACCTTGTAATAAATATGGCGATAAAGATGAGGACAACAGTCTGTATAATGTAAATATTGAAAGACAAACTAGCACGAAAGATTAGTGGCTTATGGTCATATCTTGTTAAAACATCTGTTCTCGAACGAGCACCGAAGTTAAGCAACGTCGAAACTGGTCAGTACTTAGATGGGTGACCGCTTAGGAATACTAGGGGCAATAAGTTTGGATCTTGGGGTAGTGTAATGGGTAACCGCACGGAATTGAAGATCAGAAAACCGATTTCCAATTCCAGTCGCTTTCGTTATATTCACTTACGTGCAAGTACCCTTGGGACAGGCACGAGTCTACTTCTTCCTCCCTAACTATGGGTTAATTAGTATGACTCGTATCATTAAATCATTATTATCTCTCCTCAAATTCTTACAATCTAAACATATTTTCTGGCTTTAAATAACCCGCAAAAGTTGATAAGGCGTAAAAACCAATCAACTTAAAGATTCGTGGAATAAGAAGAAAAGTGGTCGGTATAGGGTGCCATTTGACTGTTCAGGTTCTCCCTTTTGAGGCCATTTACACATACGAAATTTTTTATAGAGTTGCCTTGGTTCAATGATTTTTTGTATGAATGTCGCTTCTGAGAGAACCTGATGCGATATTGAAACTTCGCCTTAAGTATGGAAAACTGAATTTGTATATTTTTAAGAATGATTCCTAATCACCTTTCTGGTTTATTCTTGGGTGGCACCATACCGGTTAAATATTTCGTCATCCGATACAGGGCGATCACTACTCTCATTACCGTTCCCACTGTCTATAGATTGTCTTGAATTACTGCCAGAATCGGGTCGAAAGAAATGTCTCACAAAATATTTCGTCGCACACATCCTAAAAAAAACCTCGGCTCTCGTTCGATCACCAAAGTTAAACAGTATGGAGGCTGGGGATTACTTTAGATGGGAGACCGCTTGGGAAAACTAGGTACTGTAATACGAACTATGTTTCGGCTTTAAAGAACCCAAAACGTGTTAATAAGCCGTAAAAAAAAAAATGAATCAATCCTCAATCAATCTACAGTCTACGCATTGGATTCGTGAAAGAAGCATTCCAAAATCTAAGCACGGTGCTGAGAAATGGAAATTTCTTTAGAAACAAAGAAAAGAGCGCTGGATTGCTATGTGATATCCATATATGACAGTGAATGCTAGGCAATCTCCCCACGGAGAAGAAGAAAAATGGGGGCAGCAGAAATGTGGTTCTACAGAAGGATACCTAGAATTTCATGGACGGAATGAATAAGCATCAAAAAAACGTCTTAAAGAAAACTGCAACAGTAAGAAAACTTTTACTCAGAATCAGAAAGAGTCAGCTGAGGTTCCTTGGACACATAATGAGGAAAGAATGCTTGGAAAACGTAATCCTCAGGCATATTGCGTGTAAGAGGGACAGGGAAAGGCCGTGTCCCATTTAATTGACGGGCTTGTGTGAATGGATAGTGGGAAGGCGGCGGGAGCATTAGCAAAAAGAGAAAAACTGCTAAGCGATACAAAGGATAGGAAGTTGTGGCGAACCATAATTTGCCTATATCCTGAAAGGATGCGGCACATAGAAGAAGAAGTAGAAATGAACACACTACAGTAATAATGGCCTGCAAGACTTACGAAGCAGAATATATCAGATATGACTAAATAATATAAGATTATAAAATAGTACATATGTAAGTAGGTACCTCCAAAAGATTCGTGATACCTAAGGTCTAAAATGAATTTTGAAAAATGAAAAATCTTTCTTGAAGCTTTTATTTTAGCTTTAAAATCGAGCTAATAGATAGATTAAATTTAATATTTCCAATAAACAAACTAGTTTTCTGTATTTCAAAACTAATTTAAATTGTTTGGAAGGAATTTTCGTTTTGAAATCAGTAACATTCACTGATTTTAGTGCCATTTTTAACCATCTATCATCGCAATGTAATTCTCTTTATTACAAAAATCTTTCAAAAATAAAATATACTTTTTTTAGAAACTTTATTTGAGGAATATTAGCTGATTTAAATTTTAATTAATCTGATTTGAAGCAAATATAACTTACATTAAGTTTAAAATATTGCAGAAATGCATTTTTAACACGGCGTAGCTGTTTACTTTAGGTGCTGACAGCTTGAATAACAGACGGAAGTTTATCTAATGTTTTTCTACGGCGGCTATATCTGTAACATTTACTTGAGAAATATAACGTGATTGTCATTTTTATATAATGTGTAACTAATTCATTATTCATAGAAACATTTTTTTTTCTTAAGACAATCGTGTCCATAATATAATTCATTCATAAAAGTAATTAAATTTTTTTCAGATTAAATAATGTCTTAATTTTATGGCATTTTTTATTTTTCGATTCAGAGCAGATTTTACAAAAAAAAAAAAAAAAAAAAAATTAGCGATTTAAATTCTCCAAGGAGTTCTCCTTTTTACTAATATTAACGTTAAGCTCTACAAAATGTAATTTCTCAAAATTTCATAAAATTAAATAAGTGGGGCGTAAAAGATGTAAAAAAGATATTTTTACCAAGATTTTCTAAAAGAAAAAAAATTGAAATAATTTCATTCATTTGTGAATAAGCCCTGAAAGTGTCATTAAAATCTGACATTTATTTAATTTTTATAATTCGAAATCAATGTGTTTTTCACTGCAAAAAAGAAAAAAAAGACGTTAAAATTTCCTATACTAATCTTTGGCCATCGCGCTGATGCAAAAAACAAATATTTTAACCAAATTTTCGAACGTTCTAAAAAGGATAAATAAATATAATTTAATAATCAAAAACTCCTTTGTTTTTTCCTTTTAGTAATAACAAAGTTTTCTTTTTCATCAATGTATGCTATTTTTTTAGCGAATCAGTGGTGGTACCTAAATATAAGACTAACTTATGATTTACAACAAAGCACCTATTTAATCGTCTACAAGTAAAAGCCTTTTCCATAATGATTATGATTAAACCATAAACATTGTTCAATACAGTTCAGGAAATTAGATAAAATTATAACGATCTCCAATGTAATTTTAAAATTTATTCCCAAAATACACTAGGATTCATTTTCCTGATTAGAATAAAAATTACCGACATACGTATTTACTTGATTAGGTTGTTATCTTTAACGCTTGCTCAAGAAAATTTTTCGTTGAGATAAATTCGATGCACTTAAAGGTACTAACATAAATAAGATGCTTTCATATCGGTCTATGTATTTTCCAATCGCTTGAGATAATATTTACGAAACTGAGTCTCGTCTACCAAGGGGAGTTAACTGGGACGGAAAATGCGACACGGAAAGCCTAAGGCGATTTGGGATAGCGAAAGAGGTATTGCCAAAGCTAAATGAAACATTAAGAAACAAGAAAATTTTACTAAAAACAAAGAATAGAGCACTGAAATGAAGTATCAGTCCTCCTATATGACAGTGAATGCTGGAAGATTTTCTCACAGATGAAGAGGCTTGAAACAACAGAAACATGGCTCCACAGAAGGATGATGAGGATACTACAGACTGAAAATGTAAGCATTGACGATGTGTGCATGTCCGTCGGTCAGCATTAAACTTCCAAAATACAATATTTAGTGCCTAAAGCTATATATGAGTTAAAGATCAAATATAGATCAAATATGGACCGGAATCCGACAGGATGATGAAATAAAAGAACAAATAGGAAACGTATATCAATCTCACATGTTTCACTTTTTTCAGCACAACCAAAAATAAAATCTGGACTAGTCATAGAATTTTACCTTAGATCCTTAGGATATGTAGCCTGTAAGAATATATATATATATATATATATATATATATATATATATATATATATTGAGAAAACTTTTAAACTTCTCCACTATCCACATCATTTTATCCTCAACGCAAAAAAACAACAAAAAAACGAGCTTACAAAAACGACAAAGCTAAAAAAACAGACATCAGCAATAATAATTGTAACAAAAATTACACAAAATTCATAATTCTGCCCGCCGACACTCTTTCTACTAAGCACGTAAACAAATTAGTCATCCATAATATGAGGATAGTTACCACCATCTCCAAAACAGTCGGATATATAATTAGGAAGATAAATAATTCCAACAACAATTCAAATGTCAGGATTTATCAAATAAATTGTTTACAATGCAAAATGTTTATGTTGGGGAGACATCAAGTAATCTAAAAGCCAGCATCTACGAACACAAGAGAGACTTGCGTTGGACAATCGATCTAACTCTCTCGTTTCGAAACGATGCTAGCCATAACTTTGATTTCACTAATGCCAACGTAATTAAAAAGAACATAATTTTTTAAGGCGAAAATACATTTAAAACTTAATAATAACGTTATTACCAACCATAAAAACACGCCTAGTACATTACATTACATCGACATCTTTCTTTGAATCCATTCTAACCAATATCTATATAATACAAAGAATACTTTCTCAAAAAGGCGAGCCATAAATCAGGACCCTGCGACTGACCGCACATAGGTGAAAAATAAAAAAAAAAACAAGTAGACAGACCGACGCACATAATTACAAATACACATTACCATACGTTACCCGCTTAGACATGCAAGAATCTTCACAAACTTATATGCTCATAGAATAATCCACTGTTTTAATACACGTGACACATATCTGACCAATGAGAACTGATCCAAATGTAATTAAAATACCTGTGTTTTCTGTCTTTTTGTCTGTTTTCTCTCAATCTTTATCAAAGATTGAATAAAAGTGAAGCATGTCAGAGTGATATATGTTTACTACTTGTTCATTTATTTTACCATATGTATGTATATATATATATATATATATATATATATATATGAATAAAGACAAAAGGAAAACATATTAGTCGACGCGTTTTGTCCTCTGAGGGAATTTATCAAGTAAATTGCCCTGATAAAATCCCTCTTACTGGTCTTTTACAGATATACTATCTGGATTTTTTACACAGACGCGCATGCACACACACGCACACACACACACACTATATATATATATATATAATTTAGCTGGATTGATGTGAGTTTTCACCCTGGTTTTCAGACAAACCTGACGATAGCAAGGGTGTGAAATCCAGGGTCACAAACTCACATCAGTCCAACTAAATATGTTAGCTCTATCACTGATAATGAGCGCTTTCCAATGAGTACCACGCATATATAATCATATATAAATAATACATATAAAAATTACACATACGCACACAAACACGCATATATATATATATATATATATATATATATATATATATATATATATATATATATATATAAGTGTACATTGAAGTTAACACTCAGAATCGACAGGCTGTTTCATGCTGGACGCAATCGTCAGGCCTGACGATAATATCCAACATGAAACAGCCTGTCACATCTGAGTGTTGACTTCAACGTTCATTTTATTTATATTTACATACGCTCTATCTCTGATATTGAGCACTTTATTCCATAAATATAGCACACCTTAAAACTATATATATTTCCTTATTACCCGACCCAGGGATTGAACACACATCTGCCGGGGGAAAACAGGCTGTGCTGTGTCAAACATCGATATGGTGAATCTCGATTGCCTTGAAAGACAGTAGTCGAAATAGTGAATTTTACCCCTTCAAACACCGACTACGAAAATCGGCGAGAAATACGAAACGAAGCAAATATGGACCAATAACTCATCACATAAAAATCGGGCTATACGAAAAAGGTGGGAATGTGCACGAGTCGAAAAGTTCTGATCGAAACAAGAAAAGATGAGGATGCGCCTCTGAATATAGAATCTAAAGACGACAATAATTCACTTGATAATTTCACACAACAGTTGAAAGGCTGGGGGACACACATTGGCAGAAACGGGGATGGAAGCAACAATTCATGAACTAATGACTGTCACAGACTTCTGCTAAAATTATTACATATTATTATCGTCTATATTATTGTAACTTCGGGATAAAAATAACGAGAAGGACATTACTCAAAATAATCATGGAATAATGACAATGTTTCAATCCCAGAGCTTCGATCAGTAGACACCTATACAAAAAGAGAGTTGGCAAACAGACGTTTATTGGAGAGAGAGAGAGAGAGAGAGAGAGAGAGAGTTGGCGTGTGAGGAGGAGAGAGAGACAACATGAGACAGTGTGAGAGAAAGAAAGATTCAATGAGAGTGAGAAAACAGGTGAGTCAGAGTGAATTAGGAAGAGAGAGAGAGAGAGAGAGAGAAAAGTGTGTGAGGGAAGGAAAGAGAGAGATAAAGTGAGTATGGGAAGGGGAGAGCGACAAAGTGAACTTGGAAAAGAGAGAGAGAGACAAAGTGAATAAGGAAAAACGAGAGAGAGACAAAGTGAATAAGGAAAAACGAGAGAGAGAGAGAGAGAGAGAGAGACAAAGTGAATAAGGGAAAGAGAGAAAGGCAAAGTGAGTGAGGGAAAGAGAGCGCGAGAGAGTAAAGAAAGCTGAGGAGTGGGAGTAAGAAAGAGCAAAGATCGTGCGTGTATGTGTGTGTGTGTGTGTGTGAGAGAGAGAGAGTGCGAGTAATGATGTGCGAGTAATGATGAGCGAGAAGGTGAGAGATAGAGATCGCAAAACAAAGTGAATGAGAGAAGATGAGAGCCGAGGAGAACGAGGGGAAAAGGGAGGAAGATAGAGACAAACGGAAAGAGAAGAGGGGGCGTTTTTACTAGTAAGAGAAAAAAATGAAAATCGCGGATGGTAGAATACTTAAAGTCTTCTTGAAGTAACACATCTCTCTTTCTCCTTCTCATCTCTCTTTCGTATTCTCTCTTTCTCATTCTCTCTCATGCAAACTAGTTGTCATATAAGGACATACACATAGCACACATTCAAAGTGCATTCTTATCAAAAGTTCTGGGTTATAATTCGAGTTATCATGTTATCCATTAATGTGTAGTATTAATTATTGGGCTGGTAACATATGGTCCCCATCACGACGGGGCCTAGAACAAGATACGGGTGCAGGCAAGTGTAATGGTGGGAGAGTTGTTTATCTACTCGATGTCAATTTTACAAACATGAAGGACCTTGGGTAACGCTTCAAAGATGAAGACGAAGGATCAGAAAACATGTTTAGGCCACAGACTTAATACACAGAGCTTTCATTTCTCTGTCTGCCACGGTCGGCATATGCTTTAAAAAGAACACTTCAGTTTCCGTCATTTATGTACCCAGAGTCTTTGATTGCTTCAAGAGAATTGGAACAGCGAAGGTCGATAACGAGAGACAATAATTCTAAGTAACGAATAGCAGAAGCTTACGCTGGGCGGGGAAAAAAATGGACGGACGGGCTGATAAAAAAAAAAAGGAAAAAGAAAATGTGAAACAGTGAGTAGACAAAGAAAGAAGATATGTGAAGAAGAGAGTGAATGTAAGAGAGGCTCGGGGCGAAGAGAGAATGAATGAAAGACAAATTTGGACAAGGGAAAACTGGATGATAGATAGATAGATAGATAGGGGGAGAGAGAAAGCGAAAGAGAAAGAGTGATTGAAGAGACAGACAAAAAAGATGAGATAGGAGTAAGGAAAACTAGGAAAAATGACGAAAACGTGAAGTAGAAAAAGAAGGAAGAGAGTAAATCTAAGACATGCCAGGTGTAAAGAGAGAGTGAATGAAAGTCAAATCGGGAGAAGGGAAACAGTGACTGATAGATGGGGAAAGAGATAGATAGAGAGAGACAGACAGACGGAAAAGATAAGATAGGAGTAAGGAAAAGTGGAAAAAAAGAGACAAAGAAAATGTGAAGTAGAAAAAGTAAGAAGAAATGTGAAGAAGAGAGTGAATATAAGACAAGCCGTAGAGTAGGAAAGAGTGAATAAAAAAAAAGGACGAAGAAAAGTGTATAGAGGCGTTAGTAAAGACAGAAAAAGAGAGAATGTTGTAACGACAGAGGATGAGAAATGATAGAGAAAAGAGACGGTAGAATAAAAAAAAAACACGAAAAAGAAAAGATGTATAGAGGCGTTAGTAAAGACAGAAAACCTTCCCACCATAATGTTTTTCCTAACGACAGGGGATGAGAGATAAACCACCTCAAAGGTACAGAAATGATGACAGAGAAAAATGACAGCTAAAAGCATAGAAACGAAAGAGAACAAAAGACCATCAAATAAGTATAATGAAAAAGGCAGAGAGAGAGAGAGAAACAACCGCAAAAAAAGAGAAAAAGAATGAGAGAGAGACCAAAAAGTGAGAGGGTGCGACTGCAATTATCGTTCCTGACCGCAACATTTCTAAGACTTGTTCTTGGACTAATTGGAACATCAACCGATGCCACTTACTGGCTGCAATGTGGAACCAATTTGTTGCGGTGAAGACTTTAGGCAAATAATGTAATCCAAAAAAAAGTACCTTCCACCAAATTACTTCAAAGTTTTCCTTTCCCGCGTTCTTATTATCAGTATAAGAGAAATCCATTCAAAACATCTATTCTATAATATAAAATACATTGTAGCTTTATACATCGGTCACGCAACCTGTTTTCCCATTTGTAGTAATAAAATATTCTTGTGTTGTTGTAACAGGAGGCATTACTCGACGAATGTCTCATTAGTCAACAGGAGAGCAGTGATAAATTGCTATATATTTTTGTTTCGTGTTAGTGATATATAAATATATATATATATATATTTAAATAGGTTAGAAACGGTACAAAAGAAAGGCATTAAAAACTAGAAATGTTGTATTGCAGGCCATGATAAGTTTAAAATAAAACAGGTACCAGAACCGGTTTCGTCCCTCTCGTCAGACTAGTGCATAGAATGGAGAAAAAGAATGACAGCTAAAAAACAATCTCTTTGTTTGCAAAAAACGAACCTGATGTAAAAGCGATTCCAACAAATGGAAAAGACCATCAAATAAGAAGAATATAATTGAAAAATGATCCGAATCGAAGAAAAGGACGAAAATTTTTTTTGTTTACGCTGGAAAGATGGTGAGAGACATGAAATAAGTGTATTGCAGGGTTGCGAACGTTCGCTGCAAAATGCAACTATCGTTCACTAATCCTTCCCAACCACGGTAAACGAAGACCGCCAACATTTTGTTGAACTAAGACTTGTTCTTGGACTATTGTTCACAAAGGAACATCAACCGATGTGTTAGGGTCCAATCAAATTACTGGCTGCAATGTGGAACCAATTTGTTGCGGTGAAGACTTTAGGCAAATAATGTAATCCTTTTAATGGACCGGAAAAAAACAAAGTACCCAGTTAAAACAGGACCCAAAGGGGAACCATCTTTGATCATGATATTGTCGAAACTGAAATCGATAAACGATTCAAATTACTTAAAGTTTTAAGTATACTTTCCCGCGTTGATATCGCAGTTATTATCAGTATAAGAGAAATCCGTAAAAGTACAAAACATCTATTCTATAATATAAAATACATTGTAGCTTTATACATCGGTCACGCAACCTGTTTTCCCATTTGTAGTAATAAATATTCTTGTGTTGTTGTAACAGGAGGCATTACTCGACGAATGTCTCATTAGTCAACAGGAAAGCAGTGATAAATTGATTCAGAGAAAGAAATGGAGAACTATATATTTTTGTTTCGTGTTAGTGATATATATATATATATATATATATATATATATATATATATATATATATATTAAAAAAGAAGAAAAACCGCAAACGTTTTTTTTTTTTGTGGTTGTAATGTGGATTTAAAAAAATAATATGCTTTATTTTCCATAATTTTGCTACACGCGTTTCTGGTCTCGAAGCCGTCATCAGACAAAGTGTGGAAATTTCAACATATTGTTTAAATTTTTTTCAAACTAAGTCTGTACTTCCATCTATATTATGGGCTTCCCCCCACCATAAAGTGTCCTGTAGTTTGTGGAGTTCAAGAAAGACATTTTGGTCATCACTCTGTGTAAAATTTTCTTTTGGGCATTTTGGGTCTCCTTGCGGATCATTTTAAACAACAAAAGATGAATATCTCATATCGAGAATATTTAACATCGAAAAACAAAGGAAAAATTAATTATTTTTAATAATATTTGGAAATCTCCCCCTTTGCCTGATGACCGGTCGACTGGTGTTTTATTTAAAACTTATCATGGCCTGCAATACAACATTTCTGAGACTAGAAACACATGTATATAAATATGGAAAATAAATATATAATATTTAAAAAAAAAAGAAGAAACCGCAAACGTTTTTGGGTTGTAATGGATTTAAAAAAAAATAATAATGCCCATATTACAACGAAAACGTTTGCGGTTTAGTGTCCTCTTTTGGTCACTAACACATTCTCTCATATCGAGAATATTTAACATCGAAAAACAAAGGGAAAATTAATTATTTTTTAATAATTGGAAATTTTGAACTACTAGAAACACATAAAAATATATAAAGCATATATATATATAACGAAAAACGTATATATATATATATATATATATATATATATATATATATATATATATATGTGTGTGTGTGTGTGTGCATGTTTCACTGAATAATATAGGCATATTATGTCTATTTTATAATTTTTGTAGCCTAGGAAAGGTTACTGAATAGAATAATCAAACGAAGGTTGGTAATGAACTATAATACTTAGAACAAGAACAACACATATAAGATTTGCTAGTGGCGCGTAGAAGAAATAGTTAACTATTAGAAGCGAGTCAAGTGAATTCCGCAATGAATCTCCAAATACAGGATATCTACCAACTGCCCCACGAGGTCAGATGTGGCACAAGGCCGAATTTAATGTGGGGTATCCCAGCCCGTAGGCTCAGCCAAATATTCTCCGCAGACCCCGTATAAAACGGGGTCGGGTAGCTGTTTCCCGATACGAGACTCTGCCCTTCTAACCCTACCTTGTTTGGGGATCCTCTCTGCCCGGAGGCAGAGAGTTTGACCAGCACAGCTGGAGACGAATCTCCAACTGCAGATCAACATACAGTATTTACTACTGTATTTATGTGAATGGGGGCATAGCCATTATCGTCCGTAGGTATGCTACAACAATAATAATCCTTTTTAGTTCTCTAATTAGGTTCTTGGTGTTAAGATGAAATTCATCAAGGAACGCGCCGCAGTCTTTGTTAACCCAAGTACTTTCGATATCCTCCGAGATCATCCTCAGTAGTGAAGTGCGAAGATAAACTTATTGTAACTGTGGTCGTTGCGATGGTGATTTTTGTAAACACGCGTGAACGCATTCTGTTATAATTATTTTAACATTTTTAATTTAACCGTTTTAGCTATGATGTTTTTTCGTAAGCTAATTAGAGAACTAGATAGGATCAGTATAACAATAAATAAACACAATATGTCTATATTATTCAATGAAACATGGTTGAATGAAAATATTCCGCCTAATTATATATATATATATATATATATATATATATATATATATATATATATATATATTCAGTTGTCTAACCAGTTTCTTCATATTAAGATGAAATTCATCAAGTCGTTTTTTTTTAACCCGAGTACTTTCGACTTTTTCTAAGATCATCTTCAGTGATATATTACAAAGGCAAACTTATTGTAACTGCGATAAAATCTGCATTCCGTTATGATAGTGATTTTTAAAAACACGCGCGAACGGGGTCTGCTGTACTTATTTTAGAATTTTAAATTTATCCGTATATTTAATCGATTCACCCCAAGATATCAAATGACAGAAAGTCTTCTTAAATAATTCAACACTCTTCTAAACACATTTTTTTATCAAATTTGTATCTTCTCAAGCTGTGCCTCTTACTCTGTAACCCTCTAACTCGAGTGGCTCTTGCGTCTTGTATAGGGTGAACATGATTGTAATTTATTTATTTTAATAAGTAAGGCGATAATGCCACTAAGGCGCAAGGGAGTGAATGAGAATGAGAAAACTTTAGAAGGAACCGGAAACTCAATCCTGAACAGGAAGCAAGAGATAAACTGCTACTTCTGTCCAAAATCCAGGGGAGGTGTATGAACCAGACGTTTTAATAATTTAAAAATCGGAATTTTTTCTTGCATGCAATAATAACGTTAAATGTGGAGATAAAAATTCCTGGATACTTCAGGAAGAAAATATAACCAATGCAATCGCTACATTATTTGAATAAAGCCGGCATATTTTCACAGTACATATAAACGTATAATTCGCGAGAATCAAGATCGATGTGAAAAAAACTCTTCATGTATTCAAGGAATTATCAGTTAGAACATTCTGAATTGTACTTTTCAAGATTATACAGCATCATTAGATAAACTTAGGAAACTATGGAAAATAATCTAAATTTTACTTTAAAGTAGAAGAACCAACTACCAAGAGGATGATTATCGGATCACTACAATCTTAACCTGTTCAAGTCTACGCTATCTTACCCACATATCCCCATAAACTGTTCTTCTTAATCTGTAACCTCTGCCGAAATAGCCTATTCCCATATGAAGCAAAAAGGATTTGTTTGAGATTATATATATATATATATATATATATATATATATATATATATATATATCAATTTATATATATATATATATATATTATTTATATATTATATATGGGCTGTACTTATTGGAAAGTGCTCAATATCAGCGATAGCGCTAACATATTTAGTTGCGTTGATGTGAGTTTGTGATCGTGGATTTCACGCCCTTAGCGATCGTCAGACAAACTCAAACCCAGGATCACAAACTCAACATCAATATATATATATATATATATATATATATATATATATATATATATATATGTGTGGACTTCATTTTGAAGTTGATTTTAGATGAAATATTGACATCATGCTTACTGGATTGTATTCATTCTTTTGAAAAAAGTGTTTTACGGCCAAAGCAACGTAATGTTATTACTTAATAAGGCGCCTGGTTGACCATTGAAACTAAATAGGGAGTTTGATTCTCACTGTGATGCCTATACAAAATTCGACGTTAAATAACCCAACAAGAGTTGACATGTAAAAATAACGTAACCTTATCTGGATGGCCATTACTACTGAGCAATGAGCCTGATCCTCGCTGAGTACCAAATACAAAATTCGACATTAAATAACCTAACAAGGGTTAACATGTAAAATCAACTACATTCGCTTAAATTTATGAAGT